ACCATCCAACACAGCCCCATTGACCACCATCCAACACAGCCCTGTTGACCAACTGGATGTTGCCCCATTGACCACCATCTGACATGGCTCTATTGACCAACTGGACACAGAGCCTGACTTGGCCCAGTCAAGGCCCCCTCCTGCCTCACTCACCCTTGAGGAGCCCAACTGCAGCCTCCGGGGACAACGTGAAGGAGTCGAGGGAGCGGGCGATCTCCAGCAGCCCGGTGAAGTGCTGCGCCATGTGGTCGCGGCACACCGAGCAGATGTTGTGGATGGCCTTGGCTGCGGCCGAAGCCAACCGCCGGTCACACAGCCCCTTCATCAGGTAGCCCAGCACAGGGTCTGCAAAAGGGGAAAACCTATGGGGTGAGTGCAAGGAGTGGGGCAGGGAGCAAGGAAGGGGGTCGCTGGGAGGGACTGACCCAGGAACTGTGGGTTCCTGTCCACCACTTCGCTCATCTCGCCCACCAGCTCGATGCTGGTGTAGCGCACGGCCGTGTGCACTGTCTCAGGGAGACGCACCACTCCCTCCAGAACCTCCACCAGCGTCGGGTTGTTCTCCCTGCAGGATGAGGTGGGTGGATTAGGATGAGGCAGAAGGTTTAGGACAAGGCAGAGGGATTAGCAGGGTTCTGACACCCTGACTCCACAAAGATCCCCCTGCACATGGCAGCCAGTGCTGGCATCAAAACGTGGAGCATCCCCAGTGGGAACAGAATCACATAGCAACCTAGGTTGGAAATGAAGTCACAGAACGTCCCAGTTTGGGAAGGGAATCCCAATTTTGCGAAGGGAATCAGAGCATCTTGGGTTGGGAATGGAGTCACAGAACATCTCCAGTTTGGGAATAGCACAATAATATATCCTGGACTGGGGACAGAATCACAGAATATCCCAAGAATGGAATCACAGAGCACCTTGAACCAGAAATGAAATCCAAACGTATCTGGGAATCACAGAACGTTCTTCAGTTCGGAAATGGAATTACAAAGCACGCCCCAGTTTGGAAATGGAATCACAGAACGTTTCCAGTTTCAAAAACAAGATCACAAAGGATCCCCAGTTTGGAAATAGCACCCACAAACTCTACAAAAGACCTCCAGCATCACTCACTGGTCAACGCTCTTGGCGATGGAGGCCATGATGAAGAGGACAGCCTCCGTCACCTCCCAGGGTGGATTGCCATCTTTCAGTGTTGCATAGAGCTGCAAGAAGGGAGAGAACAAACCAATAAAATAATCCCCCAAACCACCAATCTCACTGAGCCCACTGTTTTGGGACCCTGTATCTGTGTCTGTATGTTTAAGGGCACAGGGAGGTAATGCAGACCCACCTGTGCGAAGCACTCCACCGAGCCCACCAGGAAGATGAGGTCCTTGACCAGGTCTGAGACGCGCATCCGGAACTCGCCGAAGTCATCTGTCTCCTCTGGGACGCCCTCCTGGGATAGAGGGGATGAGGAGAACAAAATGGGAGGAGGGACAAGGGTGGGAAGGGAGGAGGAGCTCCCAGCCTCCAACAAGGCACGTCCCAGCAGAAACACCTCTGGGAGGACACAGCGGAGCGTGTCTCAATGTGGGAAATACTGCAGGGAAGTGGGACGGGGACCAAAGGAAACACAGCAAGAGGAAGACAGAAAATGCCACAAAAAAATGTGGCCTTACGTGGTCTGAGTCGAGCTGGCAGTGCCGGGCCAGGGCGTGCAGCAGGCGTTGGATGTAGGCTTTGAAGATGCTATGGATGACGGCATCCTCCGTCTTGTACAGGTGCTCCCCCAGGCGGTACCAGAAGTTAAAGGAGATTTCGACCACCTGGATGGGAAGGGAGGAGAGAAATTCAGGGTTTGTTATCAACACTGCCTGCAGGGCTTCCCATACAGGGTCTCTGAGGGTTTATGGGATTGTGGATTTCCATCAGCACCGCTGCTTCTTCCACCCATGGCAAAACACTGAGCGGCTCCTGCAGCTTCATCAACCTCCTTGTCAATTAAAAAAGGGTTTTAAACCCAGAGGTCATCTAACATTTGTCCCCTACATGAAGGATGGGATGACATGGAATGAAGGAGTTATCTGCCTTAGAAGAAAGTTAAGATGGAAAGAGTAACCTGCCCTACAAGAAGGATGGGATGGGATGGGATGGGATGGGATGGGATGGGATGGGATGGGATGGGGTGGGATGGGGTGGGATGGGGTGGGATGGGGTGGGATGGGGTGGGATGGGAGTGACCTACACTACAAGAAGGACAGGATGAGACAGAAGAAGTGACCTGCCCTGTAAGAAGGATGGGATAAGCTGAATGACCTGCCCCAAAAGGAAGGCCAGGATGAATCTGCTCTCTAAGAGAGGACAGAAGAAGTTGGGTCTCATCATCTTGGAGAAGACGAGGCTCAGCGAGACCTCATCGCAGCACCCCCAGGATTTAAAGGCTGGCCATGAGGAGGATGGAGCTCTCTTCACAAGGACAACCAATGGAGAAGATGAGGGACAAGGAGGAGCTGACCCCGTGCACACCTCGTACTGCGGGTGCCCTGCACAGATCAGCAGCAGCTCCAGCGTCCGCAGGTCGCCCAGCCCCTGGCCAGGCGTGCAGACAATCTTGTCCAGGAAGGTCTCGCAGAGCTCGGTGAACACGCGGCAGTAGTTGAGCACCCTGGGGAAGAGAAAGCAAGGTCAGGGTCAGGGGGGATTGTCCATGGGGAGCATGGAGTGGGCAGAGAGGGCAATGTGTCCCAGAACCCATTTCAGACCACGGGATGCCACCAACTGTTTGAGTGTCCCATCGACACAACCAACCCAAAGTGCTCCAGGAAGGAGCAACGGTCCCAGATTAACCCCAAATCCCCCATGAGCCCAAAGACAAATGAACCCAGAGTGCTCCAGGAAGGAACAATCATCCCAAACAAACACAACTACCCTCAACAAATCAGCCCAAGAAAGGAGCAACAAACCCGAGGACAAACACACAACTAATCTATAAACCAACCCAATATGCTCCTGGAAGGAGCAGTAATCCCCAAAAACAAGAAAGGTAAATGCATAATTCCTGACATTCTGGAATGGAAGATTTTTTCCATCTCAAACCCTTCTGAGATTGAAGGCCCCTTCTGCCCCAAACCAGTCTATGAAGGAGATTTTGGGTTTGTGACCTGGCTCTGTCCCTGTTCCTGCTGAGCTGCTTCAAGCCTTCAAGCTCAAAAGAGGGAGATGTTTGGAAACCATAGAACCATGGGAAGAAAAGAAAGGTGACAAAAAGGATTAGGAAAAAGAAAAAAAAGGGTTGGGATCTCCTTGTTGAGTTGGAATCCCCAGTGGGTTTGGGATCTTCTTGGATTGGGATCCCTTGAGGGGCTTGGGAGCTTCTTGCAATGATCCTCAAAGGGCTTGGGATCTTCTTGTTGCGTTGGGATCCCCTGTGGCCTTGGGATCCCCAGCAGCTTCAGGTGCTTCTCGTTGCACTGAGACTCCCCATGGGTTTGGGATCTTCCCGTTGTGCTGGGATCCCAACGGGTTTGGGATCCCCAACAGCTTCGAGTGCTTCTTGCTGAATTTGGATCCCCCACGAGTTTGGGATCTTCTTGTGTTGGGATCTCCAGCGGTTTCCAGATCCTGTTTTGGGATCCTCAGTGGGTTTGAAATCTCCAACAGTTTTGGGATCATCTTGTTGTGCTGGGATCCCCAACGGGTTTGAGATCTTCAACGGTTTCAGGATCTTCTTGCTGCGTTGGGATTCCCAGTGGGTTTGGGATTCCCTTGTTATGTTGGGATATCCAGTGGGTTTGAGATCCCTAACAGCTACAGGTGCCTTTTGCTTTGGAGAAACATCTTAAGACATGGGGCAACTCAGCTGCTTGGAACTCAGAACAGAGGGAGGAGGATTTTTTGGAATCACAGAACCATGGACAGAACACAAAGCTGAGAAAGGAGGGGAAAAAAACCCAGATGCAGCAAATCCTCAAAAACAACAGCATCAGAGAGCACAGCTGCCAACTCCTGCTGCTCCAGCCACCGTCACTCACTTGTCCAGGTCCTCTCGTGCCACGGCCATGTGGTAGGCACTCTCGAGGGTAAGGACCCCCTGGAAGAGCTGCAGGGCCAGGGGCAAGTTGGTCTCCACATTCTCAATGGCGTAAAGCGCCGAGCAGACGCAGTCTGAGGCAGCCTCGTGCAGGTTGGAGGAAGTCTTGTCTTGTTGCTGCAAGAAGGAGGAAGAGGGAAAAAGTGAGGACAGTTTTGGGGGAATCAGACAGACCTGTAAGTTGTGTTGGCCCACGGGGGAGCCCAGAGCACTGCAGGATATGCATTTCTGCAGCATGTGTGCTGTCTGCTCCTTCTCCTGCTGAAAGGAGCGCTCTTTGCATTTGGCATTTGTTTAATTTGCACCATGGAACAGAATGCAAATGAGCTTCCTGTTAACGAAGGGAGGAAGTGATACAGCATGGGGCTGCAGCTCCAGAAAACGTCAGAATCCCTTTGCTGCTGGTGCTCTGCCACGTGCATAAAGGCACAGAAACTGCTTTGGAATTAAGCAGTAAAAGCGTCAGCAAGGGAATTAAATTTTCTGCTGAAAACCTGCAGGATTTTCAAGCATTGATTTCAGTGCTAAGCAAATGCAATTTGTTCAAAGAAGAATACAGACCGAAAAAAAAGCATTTTCCTCCTTCCCAAGAATACAGACAACTCCTAAAACCAAAAACAACCTCGAAACTTCAATTCACGACGATGGCAAACCGATGACCTCGAAACGGCAGCCTTCAGCCAAGCCAACCCCAAAAATTGGGAGCCCAGAGCATTCCCACCCAACACAGGGGATGGAGCTGTAGGCAGAGAAGCAGCACCAGATGGATTTAAGAGCACCACAGCAGCAGGGATACTCACCAGCACCTCAAAAAGGAGCGACAGCAACTTGCTGTTGGCCATGAAGGTGCTGTCCAGGACCCCCAGGTTGAACCAACTCCCCAGGCACCGGAAGATTTTGATGAGCATCTTCTCATCGTTGCCTGCTTTCTCCACACATGTCATCTACAGCAAAAGGAAAACTATTTACAGCACACACGTGATTTGGAAAAATGAGATTGGGAAAGACATCCATCCTGGAGACTCTGCAGGGTGACCTCCACATCCCCCAAGGGATGCAGGGTTTGGGTTTTGGGTGGTGCCGTGCAGAGCCAGGAGTTGGACTCAACGATGCTCACGGGTCCCTTCCAACTTGGGGTATTCTATGGTTTGATGACTCTAAGATCCTACAGCACCCAAAAGTCCAGGCTGGGCTTCCAGAGATCCTCACTGGGTTCATAAGTTCCAAAGGCAGATTTTGCACTTCTGTCCAGCCCATCGCTGGACCCACAGCCATGAGATTAAGGACATTTATCTCTACTCAAACACTGAAAGCCAGAAGACAAATTGGTGAATGGTTTGGAACCTCCAATCCTGCAATGGTTTGAAGGGGTAACAGGACCTTCCATCCCAGACTGATTTGGTGTGGAAAGGACCTCCAACCCCACAATGGTTTGGGATGAAGGGGACCTTCCATCCCAGACTGGTTTGGTGCGGAAGGGACCTCCAACCCCACAATGGCTTGGGGTGAAGGGGACCTTCCATCCCAGACTGGTTTGATGTGGAAAGGATCTCCAACCCCAAAATGGCTTGGGGTGAAGGGGACCTTCCATCCCAGACTGGTTTGGTGTGGAAAGGATCTCCAATCCCACAATGGCTTGGGGAGAAGGGGACCTTCCATCCCAGACTGGTTTGATGTGGAAAGGATCTCCAATCCCAGAACTGTCTGGGGTGGAAGGGATCTCCAATCCCAGCAGGGTTTGGGGTGAAAGGGGGACCTTTGATCTCAGAACTGTTTGGTGTGGAAGGGAAACTGCATCAGGAGGAGATCCAATGGACACAGTGCTGCTGCACATGCCCTTACCAGCAGTGAGACAACAGTGCTGGAGTAGTAGGCCAAGTCCTCGATGATCTCGGTGCGGCGGTTGGCGCCGATGCGCAGCGAGCGGCTGTGCACCTCCTCGGGCAGCACCGTGAGGATTTCCAGCAGGAAGGGCAGTGAGGTGACATCATTGCTGTACCTGGAAGCAAGCAGAGCACAGAGAGCACGTGGGCAGGGGGCAGAAAAGCAGACGTGGAAATCCTAAACGCTGTCACGCGTGGAGAGATGGATGGGAATTCCACCTCTATTCGGAGGCGATCTCAGAAGCTCCTCATTACTGACTGAGCCACGGAAACACCCCAGCACTGCTGCCCCATTTTCTGCCACGTGTCTTTTCGGATGGCATGGATCTGCCCAGCAACAAACACAAACCATCACTTACTTTTCGACCAGCGTCTGCACGCAGCCCTTCCAAGAAGCCATCTGCAGGGCGAGGTCTGCTATTGCTAAAGCGAGCTGGGAAGGAGAGAAAACACAGCTTGGAGTGGAGGTGCAAAACCCTCAAACGTCCCTCATTGTGGGGACAGCAATGTCCCCTCTGCTCCCCAGCCATCCCATCTCACCAAGCACCTCCACCCCAGTTCTGGAAGGGCATTCCTAGCCAGCTGGCAGGAGGAGCTCTGCAGGCTCCCTTCCTCCAGCTTGCTGTCTGTGTTCCAATAGCACTGGGGGAAAAATGAGCTCAGGTTTGGCATCCCAACTGCCCTGCTGTGTGGCTGATGCAGGCTCCATGCCCCGTGCTTGGTGCTGAGTTATTTAAAGCCTTGGCCGGACCGCACAGCACCGCTGAGATTTGGGATAATGGGATGGGAAGGGTTTTCCAGAACACAACAGTGTCCACAGGGGATGCAGAAATCAAATCAATGGGGACAAAGCATCGATCAGTTTAAATACAGTTATCAAATGGAGACAGGGAATAGCATCCTGTGCTTGGCAGCATGGCACCAGTGTTCTCCGCTCTCCTTGCTCTACGATGGAGGAAAAGCAGCCAAGGAGACCTTTGAAAAGAGCTTTGGTGGAAAAAAAATCAGCAGCACCTGCTCCAGGGGAAGCCCTAACCCCACTGGAAGCAGTCCCAGAGCCACCCCCTACCTGGGTGACGATGACCGGCGAGAGATCCTTCAAGTTCTGGATGTGGGACAGCAAAGAATCACGCAGGGACGCGTGCGAGTCGGTGGGGAGCTCGTAGAATGAGGTCTGGATCTTCATCTTCATCGTCTGTGCTGCAAAGTAGCACGACTCCACATCCTGCCTGATCTGCAGGAGCTGGTCTGAGATCTCCCAGGCGTGCACCTGTGGGCGAAGGGAGATTCCTAAAGATGCAAACACACTTCCTCGTCCCCTGCACCCACACTGTTAGCACTACAGTGAGCTCCTCATCACCAAAGATTGGGCTACTGAACGCTGGACCACGGGGCTGAGGCCGGTGGTGGCACCCAACTGGAATGCCAGTTTTCATTTCAGTGGAATCGTTTAAAAAGTAACACTTTGCTCCTCTGAAATCCACCTTTCTCTCCCTCAGCCCCAACAGCTCCCCCGGATCACATTTCCCATTGCTGCATGCACCAGACAGTCCCAAAGGGTTTGGCTGATGAGAAGTGAGGCTGGAAAGCAGTGGATCCATCAAGGAATTGGGGAGTGGGTCAGGCTACGTGGGCCCTGCAGCCCCTCAGTGGTTTGGGGTGGAAGGGACCTTTGGCCCATTTTGTTCCAAACCCTCGCAATGCCAACCCTAACACACTAACTCTAATCCTAAAATGCTAACTCTAATGCTGAACCTAAAATCCTAACGCTACACCTAAACCCCCTAACTGCATATTGAAAATCAAGGCTCACTCCTCCTCTTCCCCAGACTCGGCTCCATCCCCGATCCACATCACCCCAGATCCACATCACCCCAGAGCCCATGTGAGGATTTCTTTCACTTCCTGATCCCACCACGGGCTTCAAAAATGACTTTGAGCTGCAAAACCTGAACAGCAAGAGGAGCGTAACCCGGAACGCCAACTCCAGCGCTGAAGATGGGTGTAGAAGGGGATGAGAAGCACCCCGACAACGAAGATGGGCGCCCCAACAAAGAGCAAGGCCCTAACAAAGATCACCACCCGAACAAAGACTGCTGCCAAACAAAGACAGCTGCCAAAGACCACCATCTGAACGAGGACCAAGACCCTAACAAAAGACCACCACCCTAACAAAGGGGACTGCTGCTCTCAGGGCGCGCCCAACTTTCCGAGACGAATCCCAACAGCTGAGCTGAAAGTGCACCTTAGGAAGAACCCTAACGATCCCGTGATTTTGCATCCCTGTTTCAGGCAGGAGCTCAGCCCAGTGCTCCATCCGTGGTGGCACATCCACCCGCAGGGTTTCTCTGTGGGGATGATCGCTGTCATGGTGCCGAACACGGCGTCGGTTGCTCTGATGCAGCTGCTGTCTGGGGAAGTACCCAGATGTTATTTCCAGCATGCTTTGATTGACAGATCTGGGGTTCTTTAAGGTTAAATCAGAGGCACCCTTCTAACTCTCCACTTCCACACTATTCTCATTTCATTAATGTTAGGAATAGAACCAAGGAACACCGTATCAGAATGATCTATCAACATGAGACCTGCCTGGCTCCCACCGGTCACTAAGCCAAAAATCCACCTCGAAGCACAACCACACTGCACCAAACCATTACTAAAAACCAACTGTGCTCGCTGCTCTACGCACAGCAGGGGCCACAAAACGCTCACTTGGAGCTTATTTACGTCCATGGGACATCCACGAGGCAGGAGAACACTGAAGGTATTTGGGTTCTTATCTTCTCCCCAAAGCCCACAGCCCTACGTGCTCTGCAGGTCAACCTCTGCAGAGCTCCATTGCTGCCAATCCGAAGCATCAGAGAAGAATTAATGTGAGATGGTCCCTAACGGGATCCTGGTGCCAAGATCTTGCCACCAGTTCAGCCTGGCCTCAGCCACCTGACCCTGAGGAGATACCATGGCCGCTCCAGGAGCGCCTGGGGGCACTGTGGACCTCCTGCAGCCACTGGACGCTCCTAAAGAAAGCTCTGGGGAACACCAAATCCATACCAGAAGCATTAGGTATGTCATGGGGGCCACTGTAGATCTTCAGGGGGAATCGGGGCCATTCTAGGAGCACCAGGACACTCCAAGGGGGCTCCAGGACCATACTTGGAGCAGAGGGAGTGTCCTGGGAGATACTGGGAGTGTACAGAAGGGAATCAAGGACCTGTTGGGTGGTATCAGGGCCATTCCAGGAGCACCAGTGTTCTCCTGGGGGGCACTAAGATCATATCAGGAACGCAGGGGACCTCCTAGGGTCACCACGATATTCCTGGAGGACAGCACGGAAGCACTAGGCACCACCAAGCCTGTACCAGGAGCACTGAGGATCTCTTAGTGGATACTGGGAAACTCTTGGAGGGCACCAGGACACTCCTCGGGGCATCAGAGCCACACCAAGAACTCCAGGGACCTCCTGGAGGGCATCGGGACCCCCTGGGGGGACACCAGAACTGTATCAGGAGCACCAGCAACCCTCTTAGGGGGAATGAAGGAAGTCCTGGGGGACACCGGAATGCCCCGAGGAGAATCAGGGCCATGCTAGGAGCACAGAGGATCTCCTGGGGGGCACCGGGGACCTCTTAGGGGCGATCCGGAACACTCCTGGGAGCACTGAGTCTCTCCTAGGCGGGTACCGGGACATTCCTGGGGGAGCACCGGAACCACCTCGGAGCCACTCCCCACACCACCCCACCCCTCTCGCCTTCGAGAACCGCCGCCTCCCCAGCTCCAACTCCCCACCCCCCACCACGTGCTCCCCCCGCCCCCGCCCCGCCGCGGCCCGCACCGAGCGCTGCAGCTCGCCCAGCCAGCAGCTGGCCCGCTCCTTGCCGCTGGGGTCGGGGTCATGGTAGAGGGCCTGCACGGCCTGGTACACCAGCTGCAGGCTGGGCTGGGCCCCGCCGCCCTCCATGGCCGCGCCGCCGCGCTCAGCGCCGCCCTCCGCCGCCCGCCGCCATCTTCGGGGCCTCCGCGCCGGTACCGGAGCGCGGCGGTGCGACGCGGAATGCGGTCCCCCCGGAAACTCCGAAACGGGAAGTTCCGCCCCGCTCGGAAATGCGTTCCGCGCCTACTTCCGGTTAGGTAGTGCGACGCGAATAGCGCCCCCCTTCCCCCCGGAAACAACGTTCCGCCTCAGAGGTGCAATGCGATGAGCGGTCCCCACAGAAATGCTGAGCACAAAAGTTCCGCCCCGCGCCTTAACGGGGTTTCCCGGTTACTGGGACTCTCAAAGGGGATTCTCACTGGGGGGAGGAGGGCGGGGCGAAGAGCGGCGGGAGCGGAGACCGGAAGTGGAAGGGACCGGAAGTAGAGAGTAGAGCTGGCGGCTCGGTTAAGCCGTGGGATTTCATTGTCTCATTGTGATCCCATTAACGCCACTGGGATCCCATTATGCCAGCGGGATGCCGTAACCACGCTGGGATCCTATTATCCCATTTGGATCCCATTAACCCCATTGTGACCCAATTATCCCTCGTTGGATGCCATTATCCCAGTGGGATCCCATTGTTTCCAATGTGATTCTGTTATACCCAGTGGGATCCTATAATCACTCCGCGATCCCATGGTCTGCAGTAAGATCCCATTATCCCCATTGCGATCCCATTGCCCCAGTTGGATCTCATTATGCCAATGGGACTCCATTAACTCCGCTGGGATCCCGTTATCCCAATTGGATCCTATTAAGATCCCATTATCCCCAACTGAGTCCCGTTATCCCAACGGGATCCCATTTCCTAATGGGAAACGCGTTGGGTTGGAAGGTTCCTTAAAGATCATAGAACTACGAGATGGTCGTGTTGGAAAGGTCTTTAAAGATGACAACCATCGAACGGTTGGAAACGTCCTTAAAGAACAAAGGAGCGTCGTGTTGAAAGGGTCCTTTTAGATGATGTATCACAGAAGGGTTGGGCTGCAAGGGATCCCAAAGCCCCCCAACCCGAGCCGGGGGATTCGGCGTGTGTTCCCCTCCCACCCGTCCCCCCCCGAAGCGGCCGGGCACAGTTGGGTGAGTCACATCTGGCCGGGGAGGAGCACATCTGGGCGGGGCAGCCCTTGGCAGGTCCTGGCAGCGCCGCTTCGCTCCACGGCTCCGCCCGGTGCAGCGGTGGCATCACCGGGACCGGCGCCAAACGGGCGGTGCCGGAGCCGTTCCGCTGCTCCGAGCGGCGCCGCGACTTTACGGTGAGGGGAGCGGGGACCCCCGGATTAGGGGAGGGGGTGGGATAGGGACAAAGGGAGGCGGAACCTCGTGCTGCCCGGCAAAGGGGCGTGGGGGGTCTGGGGAGGGGAGCTGCTTCTGGTGGGGCTGCCCCCAGCGATGCACTGGACGCATCTTGCCCCATAGCCTGCCCCATAGCGGCTCCACAGTATGCCCCATAAGCAGCCTGGATCCCTGCCCTATAGCTGCATCACTGCCTACCCTATAGATACTCTCCATTCCAACCTATAGCTGCCCTGAGCCTTTGCCCTATAGCTGCCCTACAGCATGTTCTGTAGCTGCCCCACACTCCACCTGCTCTGAACCCCAGCCCTATAGCTACCCTACTCATTCCCTAGATTGCCACACTACACGTGTTCTATAGTTATCCTACAGCTCTCTGTAGCTGCCCTGCTTTGCCTTATAGCCATGTCTCAGTCCACCCTACAGCCACCCCATACATGCCCTATAGCCGCCCTACAGCCAGCTCTATAGCTGTCCCTCAGGCTGCCCTGTAGTTGCCCTGAATTCTCGCCCTACAGCTGCCCCCAGCTTCCCATTCCCATTCCCCCTCCCCTCCCATGCACGCAGCCCACCCTGGGGACACCAATGGCGGCTGTTATGGGAACTCAGGGACACTGAGGGATAGGGTCGGGGCAGGGCTGGGGACAGTGACATCCCCGTGCCCCCCAGACAAGGAACAAGACAGCACCGGTCCCCATCACAGCACTCTGGACATTGACCCCAACACCTCACCATGACCACCGACTCCCCCGTGTTCCCCATGGGCTCTGGGGTGACAACAGCAGTGCCACGTGAGTGTCCCCATATCGTGAGGTCCCCAGTGCCATTCATTATCCATTGGGGTTTAATGGGGGTCCTCCTGCTCACCACGTCCCATCCTTGGAGTGTCCCCGTCATTGCCCATGGAGTGTCCCCATGTCCCATCACTGGGGTGTCCCCATCCCCTGCCCATGTCCCATCATTGGGGTGTCCCCATCCCCTGCTCCGTGTCCCATTACTGGGGTATCCCCACCCCCTGCCATGTCACATCGTTGTGGTGTCCCCATCCCCCACCCCATGTCCTCATTAGGAAGCTATGGGGCTCCTATGGGGCTTTGGCATCTTTGGGGTTTCCCAGGGCTGTGGGATGTGGTCACAGGGTGTCCCCCCCCTCATTTTGGGGTCACGTTGTAGGAGACTCCGAAACGTCAGCTCCAGATACGGTGGTGTTGGTGTGCGCCTTCACTGCCGCCTTTGTGGCTGTGGCCATCGTGGTAGTTGTGGTGTGTCGGTGTTGGAAGCGATGCTGCGGGAGAACAGGTGAGGACATGGGGACGGGGTGCAGTGGAAGTGGGGTTTGGACTGGGATGGGATGGGGGGATGTGGTTGGGGAGATGGGGATGGGAACGGAAGGTGCTGCGTGGCACAGACCCCATCTCCCTGTGGTTACAGCCCAGGACCCTGCAGCAATAGAAGGGAACAGGAACAGTGCGGCGGTGCCCATGGGAGCCCCGAAGAGCCCAGAAGACTGAGCCCCGCGGGATCCCCGCGCGCATCCCCACCAATACAATAAAGCTCCGCTGCTGCCACCGCCTGCATTCATCACCGCAGCCCCGCGGACACGCCCCCAGCCTGAGCCACGCCCCCTGTCACACCCCCACCCAACAGCGAATGCGCCCAGGCCACGCCCCCGTTTGAACCACGCCCCCTTAGGCCACGCCCCCCCCCATACCGGCCCCCCCCCCCCCCTCCACTATCGCTGCCGCCGTCCCCGTTCCATTCCCACTGGTGTCCCCGTTCCCTTCCCTGCCCACACCCCATCCTCATCTGTGGCCCCGTGGGTGTGATGACGGGGGACACGTGGAGGCCATGGGTGGCCCTATGGGATGCCACTGTCCCTTGGCGCTGTGGGAGGGCTGGGGGCACTTCGGCGGCCCACTTGGTGGCAGCTCCATGGGTTGGGAAACACCTGAGTGTCCCCTGGTGGTCATACGGTGACAGCGACGTGGCGGCGGTGACACCGGAGTGCGAATGGTGGCGATTCTGCTTCAGACGGGGACACCTGGAGACACTCGAGGATGCTGGGGACAAAGTGGGACAACTGGAGGTAGTGGGGAGGCTGGGGGCACCTGGGACAACACGGTACACTGGGTACACTTGGGGACAACGAGAGACACTTGGGAACAAGCGCCCTCCACACCAGTGATGTTCTCCTCTCAGTGCCCAAAAAGCAACTTCCTCCCTCAAAAAGCAGCTTCCATTCAAAAACTTGATATTTTTCCCCTCAAAAAGCAGCTCTTCTTCCCCCAAACTCCGCTGTTTTCGCCTCAAAATTCAACTTTCCTCCCCGAAGAAACAGCTTTCCTTGCCAGAACTTCTTTCTCTCCCCAGAAAACCAACTTCCCTTCCCCAAAAAGCAACTTGCACCCTCAAAAACCAACCCTCCCTCCCAAAAATGAACATTTCCTCCCCAAAAAGGCAACTTCCCCCCCAAAACCTGACTTTTTTCCCCCTCAAAAAACTTTTCTCCTCCAAAAAAAACCCCTTTTCCCTATAAAAATGTTTTTTTTTCCCCCCC